ACACTGCTTGTGCTAGATTACCTTATCTTAAATGCAACAAACGCTTGTTGTCTATCTATCTATTCTATTATCAACTGCTACAAGATAAATTGTAGACATGAAAAAAATCATTGTCAGTCGACAGTGAGCCAACGGCCGTTCTCTATAAAAGGAAATCTCGGAGTGAGGCTTCTTCATTCGAGCGGCGTTGCATTCATCTCGAGCATTCGACTCGATGCGAATGCGACACATAGCACAAGGATGAACGACTGTGGACTAGTGACCTAGATCATCAGCTCAGAAGAAATGGAAGAGGTCGAAGCAAGTTAGCGGAACGAAAGTTATTCAATAACGTCGCTTAAACTGCGCAATCCACTGAAATATATTTCCTTCTAGAGTGTGAAGGATAGAAGTAAAGCTCTCAGCGTTGATCAATCCCTGAAAGATGCGCAATGCATTCGACTTCACTAAGCATTATTGCAGGTGATTAAGTGCATATCTGGCTTTTACAACGACTTTCGGTTGCCAACTGATGTATCGTGCCAGTGCTGATATCCTCCTTGAAGTGTCGAGCACCAATTTGCCGACTTCGAAGGAAAAACTTGATGAGAATGGGGGCGGACGAAACCCTTGCGTATCTGTAAAAACTAGAATTCCAGCTTCCGGTTACCTTTGTGGTACACGTAAATTCTTCGCTTTACACCTTGTCACTTATCAAGCCATTATCAGCGTTGCTAACAAACAAGGAACCGGTTGGGGACATCCTCTTACAACTGCATCATCAACACCGTCGCCGCCGCATCTACTCAAGCCGGTGGTGTGGGGAGTTGGAAAATGTTAACGGTCTTCCAACGATCACTAAGAGAATCTAACAGGGATCAAGATGTGATAGAGAACATATTCGAAGTGATCCAGGCTCACTAGCTGGAAGTTCCGTGACTAGTTCAGCGTCATTCAAAGTTCTTCATCACGACCGATATGCTTTTCTTACTTTCAATAATGCTAGTGGCTCATAAAACTACATGAGATTACGAATCATGGAAATACTTCATCACAAATGCCTATGTTAACGGGAAAAATGCTTCCATAATTGGATTCTGTGCATGAAAAGACATCGCAGTACTGTTGCCTCGGTTCTAGTGGGAATTTATCATGATCGTTATCCTTTTTTAAATGATAACCACTAGTGGTAAGTGAAACTGCGCACGTTCTAGACGATATTGAACCAATACCAGGATCCACCACCGTCCTCGTATCAAAGTCGCATGGTGGCGAATCTCCCTCTGAACCACAAGGGCTGCGACTGTCTGTGGAGGTGAAAACCTGGGGCAGACTTTGTCTAGGCTGTCCTCGGGATTCCGGGGAACCACAATGGCTTAACCAGCAGATCTCCGAAAAATGGAGATTATGCTGGGGCCCACACAACCAGTGAGGATGTGCCATTCAAGTATCAAGTAGATAAATAGTTTACTAGTAGAATTTTCAGCAAAAGTGTAGCAAAGACGACGTAAACGAACAGATATTATGACAAAAAAAAAACGAAGTGGGAAAAGTGGCACTACAGTGAAAAGAGAATCGGTGGAAATGCAGAGACTTCAACAATCAATGATGTTGCAAATAAAGATCATACTAAATCCTCGTACTGTTTTTGTGATAAGTTCATTGTCCATGCAATGGTTTACTGACTCATCGTGAATCGAGGGCAATTTTGGTTGTCAATCTCCAATGCGTATCAAGAGATTTTCTACATCGGCTTCTTATATTGTAGACCGAAGAGTTCTCCATGTCCATTCCAACCTCTTTCTACATCTTCGATGATTGACGGGTTCGAAGTTGCAGAGGGGATAGGTTCTTTGTAGATGGGACGCATTTGGTCAATGTATAGTTTTTTATCAACTTGTTTAGTATGTTCGCGAAATTTTCAACAAAATTTGCAGCTTAGGGCGTAGACATGGTGCATGTGTTGTCATGTGGTTGGCTCGATCATCATCGTTTTTTCACAACAATTAAAGGAGTGAGGCAGTGGTCGGAGCTCACAAATCGCCCATACAACCCAATAACATCTTCTATTTTCTATTTATTGCACGACTCGCCAACACGTGTATCCCATTATATGGATACCAGAATTCCTGAATTCGATTTGTTTTCTTGCATTCACTATCCACGAAGGTCTTCGAACTTTTTGCACGTGAATCTGCCTGCTGCTAGAAGATTTTTTCGTCTTCGTCCTGAATGTCGTTGAGTGCTGGTCGAGTTCATTCTCCCTGGTATCCGGAAGTCTAGGACGTTCCCAGGTCCTTATCACATGTCACCAGCCTTTGCAAAGTGCAGGCAACTTCCTGGACAAATCTGTTCCCAAATCCCGGATGGATGGAATGCCTCGATGGCCTGTTCTGTGATCAAAACAGGGGCCTGTATGTATTATTCAGTCGCATCTATGCTACTCCGCCACCTATGCTCCGATATTTATCCCTTTATCATTTATTTCGAAAGACCCAACCTCACATGTACTACGCGGATCCCAGAACCTCTTGCATACGATTCGTTTCTTCGCATTCAACATCGACGAACGACTTTGAACTTTTCATATGTGAGCTTGGCTACTGCTTGAGAATTTACAGTTTCTCTCTGAATGAGATTGAATGCAACTCGTGTTAATTCTAGCTGGAATACTGAGATAACTGTGTTAGGGTGTTTTCACGTAGATTAGAGGCTGTGAGCTTACCCAGACAATTCTGGCAGCAATTTTCCGATCACAGAGGGATGGGAAGTTCAAAGGGCTCGGGACAGCTTCGAACCAGTCAGTAAATTGGTACGACTTGTCTGGCAGGATAGCAGCACTGGCTCGATACATCAGTAGACCATACACCACGAGTGATTGTAAAAACCAGATAATATATAATGAAGTCGAATGCATAGCGCATCCCTCAGGGATTGATCAACGCCTACAGCTTTATCCTTCATCCTTTTTAATGGTCAATAACAATAATATTGCAACAATAAAATTTCGATAGATTGAATTCAACTCTGAAAACCGATTCTTATTTAACTTTGTCACAAGTGACCAGTACTTTATTTGAGTGTTAAGCTGACACGAGGTTAGAGTGAAGCTTTTATTCTGCTGACGATTCAACGCCTTCGCCTTCCTTAGAGCATCGATGATTCGAGTCGGTGGTTCACAGGTGGTCGTCCTCCTCGGGATGTGGGTGTTGGTCGTGGTTATCCAGGTTCAATAAAACCAGTGGATGGAGTACTGCTCGAAGGAGGAAAAAGCTGAAGGCGTCGAGGGGTTAGCCGACAAAATTTTCATTCTAGCCTCGTATCAGCAAAATCATTTAGAAAGTTAGTGATTATTGTCACCGAGGTTTAAGAAAGCCGGTTTTTGAGGTATAAATAGCAGCAGTCCATGCAAATAAAACTAAAATCAGAATCATTCAAATAACAAAATCGAGTATAGTCGGGCATAGTGGTCTCACTTGATAGAGAGACATCGCAGTGGTTGGTCGACCGTTACTCAACCCATGCTCATCACAAATCAAGTAGGTTGACTATTGTGGTTTGTGGTTTTCATCGTTGTGTGTCGAAAAGGAAAAAAGTTCGGGCATTAATTAAGTTCTATTGAATTCTACGAACCTTAGTGGGTTAGAAAATTCTTAGGAATTCTGTGTGTAGGAACCCACTACACTTTATTCTGAAGCGGGGTAAATCATAACTGATCTAATCACTAAAAGCGATAAAGATAAAGCTCTCGACGTCGATCAATCTCTGAAGGATGGCCATGCATTCGACTTCATTAAGCATCGTTTGGAGGTGATTGAATGCATATTTGGCTTTTGCAACGACTCGCGGTGGCCTACCGATGTATCGAAACAGTGATGCTATGCTTCCAGACAAGTCCAATTTGCCGACCCCGGAGAGATGGAAAACTTGGCGGACCATGAGAGCGGGGATGACTCGACGTGTGTTTTGCAGGGCGCCTTCGACCAGTGCGCCGCACGAGACCAATCACTACTCACTATAAATCTCTTTATACTCGATAGCACCACTTGTATTCTCCAATGTGCTATTCTGCCTTGTCATTGCCCTTCTTTTTCTTCTTCTTGTCGTCTCAAATATCGGTGGGATTTCTATGACTTGGAATGTGCCATTCTTTTTTCGAAGGTTGTTTCAACATTGGATAATCGAAGAATTTTATGTATACATTAAAAGAATGGAAAAAAAGCGTCGAATGTTGATTACCTCCTTGGGATGCATAGTGTATTCAACTTTATTCACAGCACCGTAAAGGTTGAATATGCATATTTGGTCTTTACAGTGACTTCTAGTGGCCTACCAGTGTATCAAGTCAGTGTATTTACGCTCACAGATGAATGTGGAACCAATTTTCCGAGCAGACAGATAGTTATGTCTTTACCCAACGAGCGGGGTCGAACCAACGACGTGACCATGGCACTGTGATGTCGGCACTCCATTGCGCTGTACGCGTACATTACAGCGACTATAAATTTAAAACTAAGGACAGTAAAGAGGGTAAACTACAGAAAGTATTTTCCCCTCTTTTTTTCGAGCAACAAGTGTCTTGCGGTTAGAATGACAATAACTCTACTCCAGCTATGTACGGAAAAAGCTGTATGATTGGAGCACGTCACATAACGCTGAGACAATGTTGGATCGAATTAGATTCGGCACGTGTAATACATATTCGAAATAAATGTACAAAAATTTTGGTGTTGAGCAGTTTCTGTAGGACGCGCCATGCATTCGAACTCATTCTTAGTATCGTAAAGGTGATTGAGTGTAGTATCAAGTCAGTGCTGCTATCCTCCAAGGAAAGTCTGGTATCAGTTCTTTGACCCCACAGGAACGCAAAGCTTGGTGAGTCGAGGGCGCGGGGTCGAATCAAAGACAGCGTGGTACTGCAGGACCTCTAACCACTGCGCTGCACGTGGCCTACACAGGTCGAGGAGTTAAACAATCTTCTGTGAATATATGAGTTGCGATTTTAGCACGAACGGCGTTCTTTGGACGCACAAGCAGGATTTGCTTCCCGAAATGTTCAACCGCACCAGGCACACAACAGTTCTAAGGTATTATACAATAAATATACAATTACAGTTTATTATTTACTGCCTACCCTTTTTTAATGGCAGGGTATATTGCGAAATATAACTTCAATGATGCTGAGATATTTGCAAAGCTCCGGACCGCAGACGTATGCCGTGAGGAACGAACACGCGCTGTTGTCCTTACCGGGGAGCAGCGCACTTCACCACCACACCATGCGAATCATTCATTTCGCCTGACTCTCAGCTAGTTCTATCGATCAGTGCCGTTAGCAATCACCCGTCAACGGGATTGATCTGGGGGGCCAAACCCGCAACGAACTCAGTTAAGCTGAGGCTGTAGTTATAATCACAATTTCAATTTATAATTATAATAATATATTAATTATATTTATGATTAAGCTGACATAAGGTTGGTATAGAACTTTTGTTCGTATAACGCTTCCGTGCCTTCGCCTTGCTTCTATAAAAATTGGAGTTTAAGATATTAACTGCCGCACTACGTGCCGGCGAATGCAGTACCTACTGCTGCAGGACGTATTGCCGGCCAAAGTCATATTCGATGGTGGGGATCTGCCAATATTTCAACCATTCGAGCGGTGCTCCTAGCATGGAACTCGACTCGATGTGACAACGGACAACCAAATCACGACAGTGACCACGTCGACCTGTGAACCACTGACTTCGATCAACGCGGCTCTGAAGAAGGCGAGGGTGCCGACACATTAGTCGAATACAAGTTCTTATACCAATCTCGCGTCAGCTCATTCTTGTAGAACATTGCTGATTATTGTTACTAAAGTTCAGTGGAAGTCAGTTTTCAAGATATGACCACGTGTGTTTTGCAAGGTACCTCTAACCATTTCGCAACATGCCTCTTAACCGTTATCGCAAGGGTATAAACAAGCCCTAAATTCCTTTTAATGTTTCTTCTTTCAGGTTCGAGGAAAAAATGCACCTCAGTACCTCGATAAAGGTGTAGTGCTGGGAAAAAAGTATCGCATTGAAAAGATGATCGGTGGGGGCGGATTCGGACAAATCTATCGAGCTACCGACATCGTATGCAGCAAGGAATTTATTTTACTTATAAATATGTCAAAGAGTTTTGACTGTTAAAATAATCCAAACCATTCCGTGATGAGAATACAGTAATTAGTACCATGTTTATTTTCTGTTCTTGACGAATACTTAAAGCAAAGTCTAGTGTTACTGTTACGATTAAAATAACACTTAAAGCATAAGGTGATCATCATCAATCCCTGGTGGATGCGGCATGTGTCCGATTCGATTCGTGGCATCCTAGAGATGACTGAGTGCATCTCTGGATTATAAGAGCTCTACCCATGAGTCAAGTCAGTATTTTAACCTTCCAAACAAGTCGGATAGCAATTCTCCAACCCCGAAAGGATAAAAAGCTTGGTTTGCGTTGGAACCGGAATAGAAACAAAAACCACGTGGGTCTTGCAGGGTACTCCTAACCTCCTAAAGGTCCAATATAATGTTTATAAAAGAAGAAAATATGGCTGGGTTAGACGGAACCGATTGAATTGCTGAACAATGAGCGCATTTGGCTAACCTCGCATGTCAGTATGTATTAATTACTGCCTCTATGTAATGGTTGAGATTCGAACACTGAGGCGGAGGTTCGAAGATAGCTTCAATAATGAATTGTAATTATATAAAGTTATGCGCATTACGACACTTTTGAAATAAGATATGCAAGTTGAAAACCTTTCATTTCAAATTCATTATGTAGACCTGAGATGTGGGTACTGTTTTCTTGAAGGATATGGGTACCGTAGTGGCGGCGAAGGTCGAACCACAATCTGAAGACGCTGGACGGATGGTTCTCGAGCAGATGGTGCTCACAAAACTTGTTGGCACACGACATTCACCCAAATTGGTCAGCAGAGCTTATTCATTTCCTTTCGATGTTTATAACACAAGTCTGCTAATTTTACTGCGCAGACAGTTTTTATTTCAAGTAATGTCTTCAAAACGGGGCTGATAGCACAGCGGTAATGTTGTCGTTCATCACGAGCATGGCGCTAGTTCGACTTCGCTCAGGCCAGCCAAACATCTCATCCCTCCGGAGTCGGCAAGTTGGTACCGGACTTGTCTGGGAAAAAATCACTCTCTGCAGTCCAATTGGGAACGCTCCGGCCCGGCTATCTCCAGACTCGAGAGAATTGACTCCAACGACATTCTACAACATTCAAGATGAAATGAAAATCGTTGAGCAACAGCCGAATGCACACGCAAAAAGTTGGAAGATCCTCATGGATAGTCGATGCGAGGAAACTAATCGAATGTGAGAAGTGCTGGGATCCGCGCAGTAGTTGTGAACACGGCTCGTATAAAGGAAAAAAATATTTAAAAATATTTCCATAATTGCATCACCTATTAAAGCATAAAGGCTTTTTGTTATTTTACACTCTTTCCACTTCGCATTTCTTTTGTTCCGCATAAAAATCAATCTTCTCTCGTCAACTGGTGGAAAAAAGGAGACCATCTGAGCCGTAGAGATGAGACTTAAGGAAATAGGAAAAGGAAAAACGAATAAAGTGGCTATTATTGGAAACAATGCTAACAAAAACACACAAAGCAAAAAAGCGCAAATAAATTTTTAAATAAAAAGATGGAAAAAGGAAGGAGAAAGAGTAAACAGAGCGAGAAGGAGAATAAGAGTGGAAGAGTGCGAAACATGAACGTTGGCAGAGACGAAGGCGTATTCTGCGTAGACAAATTTTTGTCAAAACTTGAAAATGAAGTCATTAGGAAAACATCAAGACCCGCCCAAAACGTTATCGATGTTTTTCAGTATGCGTCCGGTTGGCTCAACAACTACAACTTTATAGTAATGCAAATGCTTGGACGAAACCTTACCGATTTACGCAAAGCGCAAACTGAACGGCGCTTCAGTGTACACACGGTGAGTCTCCTGCATACGGAATCCTCTTCATCATGCCACTTTTTAGCTTCTCATCAATAGGACCAGTAATAACTATCGTCACGTAGCAATTTAATGAATTGTGTAATATAAAAGAATAAGGGCTCCCAACGGTTTACCACCTCATCGTGGCTGGGAGGTGTTCCTGGGTGTCGGGCTGCGATGTACAGTGGGGATTCATCCCCTGGCAGGGTCTCCCAAGCTGAGAAGGACTCCGGCGTTTCTATTAGGAATCCTAGCTAAGAGTAAACCAATACCAGGGTTCACCACCGTCCTGGTATCAAAGTTGCATGGTGGCAAATCTCCTTCTGATCCACAAGGGCCGCGACTGCCTGTCGTGGTGAAGTCCTGGGGCAGACTTTGGCCATGCTGACCTCGGAACTGCAGAGAACCATAATGGCTTAGCCGGCAAATCTCCGAAAAATGGAGATTATGCTGGGGCTAGCACAACCAGTGAGGACGGGTCATTCAAGTATCAAGTAAGTAAAGGAATAAGGAGGCGCAATTATTAGAAATTCCAAGTAATAGTACAAGCACGGTCGCTATTTGGACCCTAAACCGGGTCTATCAAGCCTCCATATCTCTAGAGTGGACAAAATTCATGCAAGGCCGCTCTGAGAAGAACTCACTTCAACCCGCAAAGGCGAATAAATGCTTCATTGGTGAACGTGTGAGGATGCTTTAACAGAGCTATTCCAGTATTCGAGGGGAGTCTACTGGGCTAGCATTCGACGACATTCATGACGAAACCTAGATTCTCCAGTGATAGTCGGACCGATACCTGACTATTAGATCTGTGGGAATAAAAAGAACTGCTCCAATCATTTTTAGAAGATTTCGCTTAGCCACTAACAACACTACCTTTTGCACCTTTGTACGCTAATTTGCAGACAAATACAAACCTACAAGGTTTAACGTTTTGTTTTCTGCCTTCTATAATTTTCATGGCAGGACCCGCATGGTGTGGTGGTGAACGCGTTACTCCCCGGAAAGGATAATAGCGCGTTCGTTCTCCACCATAGACACCTGCGATCCAGAGTTTTGCAAATATCTCAGCAACGTTGTGGTTGTATTTCGCTTAGTAACCTGCCATGAAAATTATAGAAGGCAGAAAACAAAACGTTAAACATTGTGATTTCAACTACAGCCATAGCTTAACTGGGTTCTATGCCGATTTGCGCTCCCCAGATCAACCCCGCTGACGGGTGATTGCTGTGGCAAAAAGATCGATAGAAATAGCTGAGAGACGTGCGAAACAAAGGACCCGCATGGTGTGGTGGTGAACGCGTTACTCCCCGGAAAGGATATTAGCGCGTTCGTTCCCCACCATAGACACCTGCGGTCCAGAGTTTTGCAAATATCTCAGCAACGTTGTGGTTGTATAAACCTACAAGATTTATGTTAGCACGATGATCTAGAACACTACAGCACCGTAAAGTTTTTTCTGTAAAAATTGTGTATCTCCTTAGTTTCGACAGTTTTAGCATTCCCAAGTCCGACTTACTATTAACTTCGGCATCGATTGAATAATTCTTTCTATGTCTGTTCAGCAAACACGAGGTGCTATTTTATTCCTTTATTTACGTACAAGCTGACGTTTCGGCGGATTTCGCCTTCCTCAGAGCCCACTATTCTCCTCCAGAGGCGGTCCTCCAAATACACGAAGTATGCGGACTGCCAGAGGATGATCACCGAGTACTGGACATCGAATTGCAAGTACTGCGCCCCTGTCTACGAAGCAAGCAAAACGAGATGCTAGCTAAGTGGAAGAAGTGCGAGAAGAAAGAAAACTATTGTGCTCAGTATTTGGAGGACTGCCTCTAGAGGAGAATAGTGAGCTCTGGAGGAAGGCGAAATCCGTCGAAACGTCAGCTTGTACGTAAATAAAGAAATAAAATAGCACCTCGTGTTTGCTGAACAGAAGTAGAAAGAGTTTTAGCACTGTTTTTGTACTCAGCACATTCAACATCGTCTTTTCCCAAATATATCCATTGGCCGATGAATTCACTATCTGAACAAAAAGTATCTAAAATCTGAAAGCAATATCGGTATCGCTTAGAAAATATCAATGAGATACTAATACCCTATCGTTATCACTGAAAGTAGGAATGAATCTCCACTTTTAAGACAGTCCGTGTTGGCATTCAAGTCGTAGAGGCGTTGAAATTCGTGCATGACCTTGGATATCTGCACAGGTACATGATGAATAGAGAATACTCCAAAGTTTATTAGTAGAATTCCAAGTGTTTCTTTACTATTACAGAGATGTGAAACCTTCAAATATGTGTGTCGGCATCGGTGAGCATCGACGAATCATTTACCTCGTCGATTTCGGTATGTCGATGAGCAGTTTGAAAGATTACAGCTAGTCATTTCTCAAAAGTGAAGACATCATGAACTGAATGGCAAACTTCTGTAACAAAATATCAGGGATGACCAGGCAATTTCGTTTGCCCAGTGGTGATTTGAGAAAGGAACGAGCGTATGCCGCTTTTAGAGGAACGATGCGTTATGTTTCGCTAGCAGTACATGAAAGGAAAGAACAGGTGCGTTAAAGTCAGAACTAGCAGGTACTTCTACAAGAATTTTGGCGTTCCGATCCCAGAGCATATCTGGTTTTCCTAGTAATACCGGCCTGAACAATGGCGCTGCTTTTGCCGTCGCTAGCGATCAAACACATCACTACCCCGTTCCAGCTTCAATTGTTGTTCCTTCTAGATTAAGGAGATGTTAGATTGATCTCGAACTCAGGTTTACTAACGATATTTCCCTGATCAACTCTATCTCTGTATCGAGGAAATTGATCTTGTCATTGATCGACTTCCACTTCTACTGTAAAAAGAACTGCCAAAATTTCGACATAAGAGCACTGCGATTGCGATCTGTTCAAAATCTGATTGCTTTAGGGACCTGTAGATGATCTCTGGAGTGTCTACTATACTCTAATCGAGTTAGCTGAGGGATCGTTACCATGGCGTACAATTACAGAACATGATGAGATATTCCAGTTGAAGCGACGACTAACATTTCGAGACCTTTGCAGGTTTGATTTATTAAGAAGTTTTGATTCCAAATTGTGCAACAATTCCAAGTATCCGGCTCTATCATTACACTTGTTATTCCGCAAATCTTGATCACGTATTTCTCTAACTACTCTTAACATAACTGAAAGCGCCATTTGTTCTTGCAACACGAATGCTGAATGAAGAATACCTTGCAGATATCTCCCACGCCATTTCGAAATGTTTTCGCTTCTGCTTCGCGATCTCAGCTACAGTTCCTTTCCAGATTACACGAAACTCGTAACAGCACTCAAGGTCAGCATTTCAATCGCATTCATTACATCTTTCGTTCAAAATTTTAACTAGGAAATCCACCGTCCGCATAGTCAATACAAAGAATGAAGACCGCGACTGACTCAGCTTAACGTATTATATCGAATGACTAATGAAAAGTAACAGTTCGGAAATACTGCATAATACCCTGGCTTCTTGACCTAGTGATAGTAAAGAAATCACAAATGCTCACAAACTACCCACATTTTGCTCGTAATAGTATCCGATCCTTACGACCACAGTACTGATTCGTTTATGATCAGAACAAAAAGAAAAACTGAGATGACCTAAATCCCAAAAACAAATGCTGATAAGGACCAAACCGCTGTATGCAGCTTCGGCCCAAAATGAAATGTTTTAATGAAGCACTTGGCGACGATAACCAGTACACAACTGTTTCACAAATATCAGTTACAAAGTTTGGATGAACCCACAGCCATCGATGCTGCACTCGAAATGCACCGACAAATGCAACTGATCAATGGAAACCATGAATATGAACACCACGACAGCCACTATTATGTTCCTTAAATGTCCTTCATTCCAGCGATGTTGTAAAATTGTCGATGAAGAAGCCGACTTTGAATGGGATGACGAAAATTCCACGCAGTTCCACTGACTCATGAAAGTCAAAAGCCTTTGATCGAGTATCATTTCTCTAAGATTCTATTCATTGATCACATTTTATAAAACACTGAAACTTTAAAGTATGCGCTCTCATATCTCTTTCAAACAAGTGTTACATATACATCGATTATCGACTTCATTGAGGAAACCTGTAAACGTAAACAGTGGAAAAAGGTGCACATCACATGTATTACAGGCATCGAATTAAGAAAGGAATGAAAGAACGGACCTCACACGAACTAAAACGCTTACACATAAATGTGTCTAAGAAAAGAATATACATTAAAAAAGATCTCATGGTTTAAAAGTCACTTTTCCACAGGTGAATTGAAAAATCTGACCCAAGTCCAGACGAGGCTATTATGTTTTGATTCGGATGACAGTCGGTGATCATAACGATATCTTGCTGACAGTCGATCGTCTGAACAATTTCCTTCGTCTGTAGGTTCCAGATGTAGATTTTCTTGTCCTCTGATCCAGATACTATCCATTTTCCGCCTGTCACAGAGAAATTCGAAAATATACAGTACTTTTGGTTAACATGGCCACTGTAAGTCTTCATACACTTGTCCTCAATGAAATCCCATAATTTAAGAGTGCTGTCAAGTCTCGAGACTAAGATGTACCTGCCATTCGGTGAGAATTTAACGAAACCCAATGGAACATTGTCATGGCCTACTACTGTCTTCAGAAACCGACCATTCTCGGTTTCCCAAATTCTCACGTGACCATCATACGAACTCGAACATAGTAGGGTTCCGTCATGATTGAACGAAACCGCTGAAACAGTACCGCTGTGAGCAGGCAGAAGTTTTTTGCAGAGTCCTGTGCGGAGATCCCAAATCTTCACAGTTTTGTCGGACGACCCCGAGGCGACCACCGTACCCTGCGGGTGGTATGCGCAACAATATACGCAAGCAGTGTGACCTTTGAAAATTTTGATGCACTTCGCAGTCTCCACCTCCCAAATTCGCACCGTTTTGTCGTCTGACGCAGAGGCAAGGAAAAGCGAGTTCTGACTCCATGCAACATCATTAATGCCAACTTTGTGTCCAATAAATGTCTGCATTGGTTTACCGTCGTTTACAAACCACACACGGATAGTCGTACCTGCCGAAGCTGAGGCTAAATAGACACCGCAAGGCGAAAACTTCAAAGAGGATATAGGTTTCTCATGACCATTCAACGTCATTAAAAGAGAATAGTTTGGCAAACCAGACTGAGCTGAAGGCGCCTGCTGAATAGGAGTGGGTGCAACTTGGGCAGTTGGCTTTGAGATACCACCTTCGGATACCTTAGCAGCGTCCGATAGAGACGTTTCATGGATTTTAGTACCAGTAGTTGTATTTGAATTCTCGCTTTCTATATCCATAACCTAAAAATACAAAAAAATGGGTGGAGACCTCAAAGAACCTCGAGAATACGAGATGCAGTAGATGAATAGACGGAGGGAAGTAAATAGGTTAAAAACCTTGTGGAAAGAAAAGAAACATCTTGTCGTGACTGCTTTATTTCAGAATATAGTTCACCTTTTTCTTACAATATCTCGCACACTGAGAATCATTAGAAACATGTTTGCGACGAAATATATAGACAAAAGGACTTACATTCCTTTCTTCTTGGTCATGGATCTTTCCAACATCTCTGGAATACCGCCTAAATTAACACAATCAATCTAAATCAACATAGCCATTGCGAGAAATATATAGCTATTTGACGATATAAGAAAATTACTTACCTGGATGACCAGTCTTCACGAGTTCTGCAGGCCCCAGAATATTTTCCATTCGCTTTATTTTGCCTTGCAATCGTCGTCTATGTTAGTACTCCGACTCCAACATGGTGACATCCGCAAAACCCATTGCATAGTCCTCAAAATTGTTCTCATCTGGGAATGCAAGTGGTTGGTGTTGGCGACGAATACGTACGCTCATCGTCTGGATGGTTTTCCACGAACATGAATTCCTTTCGAGTCCACTTCACTATTCATTTCATTCATTTGTGTCATCAGTTCTTCTTCTTATGTGACTGGTGCAACCGTTTCGTGATCGATGTATATTCTCCTGGATCGAGAATATGGGATAGGTTTCCAAGATCTAAGCTGCGTAGTCTGGCAATGCGTTGTGAGTACAGGTTAAACTTCAGATGACATCGTTCAAGTGCTCTGGGAACGGTGTGCAGAATTCTTGACATGTTTGAAGTACATACCCACGCCGCTGCTGCATAAGAGAGCACTGGCAAGGCTCCTGAATCGAAAAGCTGATCGTGGAATTTTGAGCAAATTAGATCAGTGGCGTCCTTAAAACGCATGAATGGGGCCCATGCTGCTCTCCTTCTTCTATCCAATTCTTTTTTATGCTGTTCTCCATATTCTCTGAACGTGCAAGGTACATGTAAGAGGTTACTTGTGCAATTGAAGAACCATTTCGATTTGTTCACCTTCACAGCACGAGTACTTCATGAACAGTGTCTTTTCCGATCTATGCGCAGACCGATCTTTATTCTGCTTCGTTGAGCATAGTGAGCATCGTCTCTGCTTCACTGGTGCTTCTCGAATATACGACGATGTCATCCGCGAAACGAAAATTTTATAGAAATTATCCATTAATACGTATTCAGTTTTCGTACTAACCGAGCTACTTCACCACTGACAGCAGTACGGCAGTAAAAACTTTTGACGATACTGGATCGTCCTGCTGAAACCTTCATGGGTATGATGAGGTGTGATGAAAAACAGCATATTTGTGCTGCATTTCCGATAACAGTCAGCTAGTATTTGTGCAACGGATGGGTCCAATGCCCAGTTGATGAGCTATGACAGGATTGTATTCGCTTCGACGCTGTTAAACACTTTCTGATAGTCGATAAGGCGAACGGAAAGGGGCGGATGGTACTCTCGACAGACTTATATGACCCGTGAGACGGTTTGGATGCGGCCCATTCAGCAGAATCTCTGTTGGAATTCTGCTTGCTTAAGCAGTTATACTCCATCTAAAGTCTTCAAAATGCTCAAAAGGATAATCTTCGTGAACAGTTTGTAAAGCACACTCGACAAGCATATTAGACAGTAGTTAAAAAAATCCTTTTAGTCATCCTTCTTGGGTAGCATGACCGTGCACGAGGTCCTCCACTGGAATATTCTCCATCTTAAGGCAGGCTCTTAAACGCGTTGCGAAAAGTACATGTAATTTTTAGCCTCCAGCTCTGACGGAATCTGTGGTGATGTTCGCGGACCCTGGCGCTGTGCCTCTCATTATGATTCATATCGCAATTCGAATTTTGAGTAGAATCCGGCCGGTGTCTCACCAGCGGATATTTTGGGGCCAGAAATGGGTTGCTTGAATGGAAAAGGATGCTATAGAACTTTTCCGTTATCAATGGCATATCATGGCCGGATGTGGTGACTCGTTCATGTAATACTATCATGGTCGATAGCGGAACACCATACGCACGAAGACCCCATGGCAATTCTTCAGAACAGGTCGCTTTTGACCTACTTCCAACAAGTTTTTCTGCCTGTACGAATGTAAATGCTCCTGTAAAGATCTTCTACAGCTGGTGTTTATTATCAACTGTTAGGTGTGTTGCAGTAAGATTAAGATTCAGTTTTCTCTTCTTTTCGAACAATTCCTTAACGCTAGTGGAAATGCGGTCTCAACTTACTGTTTGAGGAACAGGTAAGTTTGGTATAAGTTTTAAGTCCTTTGGCAAGCAGCTTGCAGTCTTCCGTTCAGGTCTTCCTTTATCTGCCAGTTACATGAGAAGGCGATTTCAATACAAACATGTTCGTCTTACACGAATTATTTCGGTTTTCCTGGATTACGACACGAGTTATTTTCCTGCCTACGGTTGAGTCGAATCTTTACTCTGCTTCACAAAAACCTGCACAGACCCCGGCTCCACTAAGGTGACAAAGAGGTACCACTTGTTATTCGTCAGAACATGATCGATCTCCAAATGAGTTGCATCGTTAGGAGACTCCTATGTCTATCGACGACTTCCTCTCTTCTCGAAAATGAATACCCATGGAAGAGACGCACTACGGACAGGAGCCCTCAAAGACGGCTTCCATGCTCAATTCGATCTCCCATTTCGGATTTCCCTATTCGGCATTCCTTTTCGTTGGCCGTTCCCAATCTGGCTTCGAACTCTCTAGCAACAACCATAATGATGCTGAGATATTAGCAAAATTCCGTACCACTGGTGTATGAGGTGGGGAAGCTTAACTGGCTTCGTTGCCGATTTGTACTCCTCAGATCAATCCCGTTGACGGATGATTGCTGATGGCACTGATCGATAGGGAACGAACGCGCTATTACCCTTTCAGAGAGCTAACGTGTTCACCACCACAACATGCGGGTCTTTCGTTTCGTTTGTCTCTATCGATCAGTGCCATCAGCAACCACCCGTCAACGGGATTGATCTGAGGAGCACAAATCGGCAACGAAGCCAATTAAGCTGAGGCTGTAGTCGAAATCACAATGTTAACCTTTTATTTACTGCCTATTATAATTGTATTGTAATAGACAGCAAATAAAAAGCTAACATTGTGACCTCTAAGAACAAATAAATGGAAAGGCTTTTTGCTACGGATCACTATTTCGCAACATAAAATTCTCTCCATGAATGATAATGGTTCCGATATATAAATGGCAAACATCGTTTGCCCTTTTAGTCTCTTGTACAGCTTGTAGTCTCATGTAGGGCGATCATGTGGAATTTAACACGATCTGCAGCCTCAATAAGAGTGTAAAGGTCGGCTTTTGAGTACATTGTTCTGGAGTTATGGGTGCAGAGCAAGAAGCAGCCTCAGCGATGCGTCGTTAGCGTGTACATTTTGTCCGCTTTCAACGAAGTCTTGTGCAACACGAGGCTTGACCGCCTCGCACCGGTTTTCTCACCGCCAGACGTCGTAGATGGAACGCCCAATGTGCGGGGTACTCAGGCGGGAATACTTCCTGCTTTAGCAGATATGGCTCCGTGGTGTCCCGAGGTCGGCCTAATCGAAGCTGTATGATTGAGCTGACCTGAGGTCGGTATTAAAACTTTTCTTTTGCCGATGTGACGGCGCCAAAAAAGCACCAACAGCAAAAGGACGAATTGTCCGCCCAAAGCAGATCATATTGGAAGTGGTAATCTACTTACACCTGCCTTCTATAAAAGTGCACTGCTGAGCGAAGCTAACCACTGGAGCGGTGCTCCCTCCACTAGATTCTACTCGATGCGACAACGAACATTCACATTACGACAACGACCAGTTGTGGACCACCGACTCCGGTCAGCACTACTCTGAAGAATGCGAAAGCTCCGATACATTAGCCGATTACAAAACATGTGTTCTTACACCAATCTCGTGTGCGCTCAATTATACAGAATATTACTAAACTAAAAATTTCTCAGAATATTCATATTGCTCCCAACTGCTCTGTAGGAAGGAATAATAGCAGCCGTTCGGTCTTTTTAAAATTCTGACCTGAGCAGCAACAATGAATTTAATGAAAACTTCAATAAGAAGTAAAAGTATACCTGCATTACTTTAGGAAGTACATTCTTATCGAACACGACGTCCATTGCTGCCTCCTCGAAGTTCCTCTAATAAACGTCATCTTCTTCATCAAGATAATACGGATAAAAGTTAGACTTTCGCAAGAATTTGCATTCATCCTTGATAGGCTAAAATGATCTTCGTAGAAAAAAAATGACAAAAACATATCTTTGTCTCAGTGCTAGCTGAATGAGATAGTCGTAAGGAAGCAGCACTATATTCTTCTGCTATAAAAGCCATAATGGATGAAAAACGAAACTGACTTGATTGATGAGAATTCCGGATATGCGCGCAAATACTTCACTCACCACATTGGACCTTCCTTTGCTCCATGTTCATGTACTTTTCTAGAACAGCAAGCAATATCACACCAATCGGTGACTTCCTAGATTCGTAGATCCCATGCCTTGGAACCTTTCAAATATATCTGGTGGAATCGAGCATCGAAGAACGATTTACCCTGGGCACTTCAGTATCTTACTGAGCCGTTATGAAAACTAATCGTTTCTCATAAACGACAATATCTGGGCTGATTCAAAGGCTCCCGTGTTAAAACACGGATGGCCAGGGAATGCGAACTGTCTAATGGCGACTCGAGAAAAGAACGAGCCAAGTTTTTAAGAGGTACTGTGTACTGCTTTCGCTAATCGTACACAATAGGAAAGAACAGGTCTGCCGAAATCTCAACTATTCAGAAACGTTACTAGGATTTCGGTGTCCTAATGCTTGACGTATTCGGCTTCTCTAGTAAAGGAGACTTGAACTATGCTGCACCTTCCACAATCAGCACCGATAATCGCTATCATTATCCCACTTTCAATTCGAATGGTAGTCCGTTTAGATTAAGTGGATGCAAAATTTACCCCCGAACTCAGGTTTACCGACGATCTATTCGCGATCCACTATTTCCGTTTCTAGCGGAATGATGCTATTGTTGATGAACCTCGAAACTTACTGTGAAAAGCACAACCGTAATCTCAATAGAAAACTGCAGTGGAGACCCGCTTGATATCTGGTCGCTTTAGGGACCACTAGATGATCACTGGATCGCGTGCTACACCCTTGTCGAGTTAGCTGAACAGTCATCACCACCGAGTTCAATAACAGAACATAACGAGACATTTCTACTGAAGCAACCAGCTCATTTCACGCTACTTTTGCAAATTTGTTTACCTACGAAACATTAATTCTAAATACAGCAATCATTCCAAGTAGCTAGTTCCACCATCAAAATTATTATTCGGCTAGATCTTGATTGTACACTTCTCGAGTTACTCTCAGAATAACTGAAACCACATTTGGTTCTCGTTACGTGACTAAGCGATAAAAATATTTCCCAAAGAAACCACCAAACAGTCACACACTACTCATATTTTCCTCGCAATGGTATCTCGTCCTTACGACCACAGTACTGATTCGTTTATGATCAGAACAAAAAGAAAAACTGAAATGACCTAAATCCCAAAAACAAATGCTGATAAGGACCAAACCGCTGTATGCAGCTTCGGCCCAAAATGAAATGTTTTAATGAAGCACTTGGCGACGATAACCAGTACACAACTGTTTCACAAATATCAGTTACAAAGTTTGGATGAACCCACAGCCATCGATGCTGCACTCGAAATGCACCGACAAATGCAACTGATCAATGGAAACCATGAATATGAACACCACGACAGCCACTATTATGTTCCTTAAATGTCCTTCATTCCAGCGATGTTGTAAAATTGTCGATGAAGAAACCGACTTTGAATGGGATGACGAAAATTCCACGCAGTTCCACTGACTCATGAAAGGCAAAAGCCTTTGATCGAGTATCATTTCTCTAAGATTCTATTCATTGATCACATTTTATAAAACACTGGAACTTTAAAGTATGCACTCTCATATCTCTTTCAAGCAAGTGTTACATATACATCGATTATCGACTTCATTGAGGAAACCTGTAAACGTAAACAATGGAAAAAGGTGCACATCACATGTATTACAGGCATCGAATTAAGAATAAGATAAGAGATCGGACCTCACATAAACTACAATGTTCACACATGTCTCCTGCGAAAAATATACAAAAAAAATGTGATCGCCTAAAAGTCACTCTTCCATAAGTGAATTGAAAAATCTGATTCAAGTCCAGACGAGGCTATTATGTTTTGATTCGGATGACAGTCGGTGGCCAGAACGACGTCTTGCTGACAGTCGATCGTCTGAACAATTTCCTTCGTCTGTAGGTTCCAGACGTAGATTTTCTTGTCCTCTGATCCAGATACTATCCATTTTCCTCCCGTTACAGAGAAATTCGAAAATATGCAATATTTTTGATTAACATGTCCGGTGTAAGTCTTTAAACACTTCCCCTTAATGAAATCCCATAGCTTAAGTGTGCTGTCAAGCGTTGAAGCCAGGATGTACTTGCCATTCGGTGAAAATTTAACGAACGCCACTGGAGGATTGTCATCGTCCACCAGTGTCTTCACACACTGACCATTTGCGGTTTCCCAAATCCTCACAAGTCCGTCATACGAGCTCGAACACAGTAGGGTTCCATCACGATTAAACGACACCGCTGAAACAGGATCGGCATGAGCAGGCAGGACTTTTGTACAGAGCCCTGTGCGGAGGTCCCAAATCCGCACGGTTTCGTCGAACGACCCCGAGGCGACCATCGTACATTGAGGATTGTATGCGCAACAAAATACGTAATTAGTGTGACCTTTAAGTGTTTTGATGCACTTCCCCGTTTCCACTTCCCAAATTCGCACCGTTTTGTCGTCTGACGCAGAGGCAAGAAAAAGTGAGTTCGGGCTCCACGCAACGTCGTTGATGCCAATCTTGTGTCCATTCAAGGTTTGCATAGGTTTACCGTCCTTTACAAACCACACACGGATAGTCGTATCTGCCGAAGCTGAGGCCAAATAAACACCGCAAGGCGAGAACTTCAATGAGGCAACAGATTTCTGATGACCATTCAACGTCATTAAAAGAGAATAGTTTGGCAAACCAGGCTGAGCTGGAGGCGCCTGCTGAATAGGAGTGGGTGCAACTTGAGCAGTTGGTTTTGAGATACCACCTTCGGCTACTCCAGTTGCGTCCGATCGAGCTTCATGGGCTTTGGCATCGGTAGCTGTACTTGAATTCTCAGCCTCCATTTTGATAGGCTAAAAACGAAATAAAATTAGATCTTAAAGCTCAAGAATACGAGATATAACAGATGAATAAATGAAGCGAAGTATATGGGTTAGAAACCTTGTAGAAAGAAAGAAACAACATGTCATAACATTTTTATTTGAGAACACAGTTTTAAACTACCTTTTTTTTTTTTTACAATATCCAGTACACTGAAGATCATTAGAAACAGGCTGTTAACACAATATATACATAAAATGGCTCATGTTTTTCTCTTCTTCGCAGCTGGTCTTTCAAATATCGCTCGAACACCGCCTAAATTACAGAGTCAATTCCAATCAACCTGTATGGGGAATAGATGCCTATCCGATCAAATAAAAATAAGGTAATTAAAGATAAAGCATGTGCTTTTTCAAACCTAACATAACAGTGTTCTCTCACAATCATGATTTGTTGCGTTGAAAAACATTTAAAAAGAAAAAATGTCAGAGAAATTAAATGCCAAATGGTTAAAATTAAGCAACTGGGAAGTCATTCCTATACCTTGCGAGATCTCCGAAATTGGCAAAAGCAACTCTTACCAGCTTTCTTATTGAAGAACTGAACATTAAGGTTATTTGCACTAGCCCATACCCCTTGATGATCGGTAGTATCTTCATTTGTAAGATGAGTATACTTCGTTCGAGATGCTTTTCCAAAGTTTTTCACCTAAATATGGCATAGGGTTAACTGTCCAGTAAATCTAAAAATCTTTCAGAGGAAGAAGTGTCTTCTTAGAGTGTTCAAATTGTGCTTAATTACTCTTTAGGAACAAATACTAGCAACTTTGCTTTAGTGTTTCTAAAACTCCAATCCTCACAGCAACGATCAATTCAACGAAAAGTTTAACAAAAAGCGAAAGCTTACCTGCATTACTTTGGGAAGTACAGTCTTATCGAACACGTCGTCCGCCGTCGCCTCAGCGAAGTTTCTCTTATAAACCTCATCTTCTTCATCAAGATAGTATGCACCGCGATGGTAATACTTTTGCAAGAATTTGTATTTACCCTTGATGGCCTAAAAAGTTTTTCTAAAAAATAACGGGAAAATGTCACCGTCTCGCTCCTAGCAAATTGAGATCACCCTAAGGCAAAAGTATTCCATTCATCATCTATGAAAGTCATAACAAATGAAAAAGTGGAACTAACTTGGTTGGTGATAATTCTCGGATTTGCGCGTAAGTATTTCACTCGCTCCTCTTCTGTCATATTGTGTACACGCTCATATTCGGCTTTTTCCTTTGCTGCATGTTCACGTTCTTCTCTGGAACCACAACCAAATATCGCACACATCAGTACGTTCAATGCATAAGAAACTCACCTATTCCTCTTTAGACGCTTCATCTCACGCAATTTCCAAGACTCGTAAGCTACATTTTCACTTTCGTCATCAGTAGGCACTGAACTAAGTTCGATGTTTTCTTCCTTTTTTCGCTTCTCCATTTCATCTTCTTCACGTAATACTTGTTGGACAAGCTGAATTCACAATCAAAATAAGAATAGTAATGAGGGAAACTTGAGAATGACATTAACTAACTCGTATGCTATCTTTCTTTCGCTCTTCCTTCTTCCGCTCCTCCTCCTTCTTCAATTGTTCTTGCAATTGTTTTTCTTTTTCCGCCTCAATAAGAGTAACACGGTCTTTCTTTCGGACAAACACCTAAAATAACTAGCGTTATTACCGAAAAAGAAAAAAAATCTCGAATCGAAATATAATAAGAAAAGCCTAGAATAAACTCTAAGTGGAGGAAAGCTTATGAATAAACCGCTAAAGCAGTAATGCAAAGCACTCTTGGTCCAAAAAGGGAAGACAAAATTGACACACAAAAAAACTCACTGGTTTTAATCTTGGTAGTGTATCGTCTTCCTCCTCTTCGCTTGATTCTTCTTCACTTTCCTCTTCTTCCTCATCTTCTTCAATCTCTTCTTCTTTAATTTCTTCCTTAAACATACAGGAAACTGGAAATATTACAAAGGATCGAATTCTATAACCTTCACTGACTTTTGCCCTAATTTCTTCCAATTCTCTTTGTTTTGCACGTTCTCGAATGATCATTCGACGTCGTTCGAATTCCTCTTCGTCACTCCCAGCGTCGTCATCTTCCTGGACGAAGTAAACTGAACATTCATACAGCGTTAAACCATATTCCCCATTACCAAATCAGCAAGACTTTGTAACACAACAGATACATTACAATCATGGCAGCCAAACCTCCTGCTGTTGTTGTTCAAGATCCAGTCTTCTCAAACGCGCTCGTTGTCGGCGTTGTTCAATAGCTTCGGCGTCATCTTCTACATCTTCTTTCTTCAAAATCTAAAAGAACAGCAGTCTCGCAGTGCGGCAACCAGGTGACATAGTCTCGCAAATATAAGGTTGGAATAAAAGTTCACACCAAATTCCGGCCAGAATTCCTTCTCATTGTTAACTGTAAACCAACATCGGATTGCATGGGACGACCAGAAAATTCCAACCATAACGCTCCACACGTTAGCCGTTCCGCAAATGCAATCTATGATGACACCCAAAGAGAAGATCAACGCCGGTTACCTCTAGCGCGCATGAGAACATCTGACTCACACGCTTTGACTGAGATGACACTAGTTGTGAAAATTTGCTTCGGCCGATCATTTTTGATGAAAGTACTAAGTAGGAAACGCCAACTATGTCTCTGATCATCTAAGCTGTTTTCCTTCACTTTCTTCCCTTTAGAAAGGATCCTACTATTCTGCTTGCTATACAGTCTTCGAACAGTCGATCGATTAGTGTCACAGTCCATTGTCTTCCTGAAAGTGGCGAGATCCGAGCAGTAAGCCAGCAAACTTCCCTCTGATCCCTAACGTTCGATATGTTTATGATAATAACATAGCCATCTCAGACTTGAAGCAGAATGAGCATGTTAAATATGCTAATGAAAGAACAGAACAGAGCTTCACATTTCAACCGCAGCTAAGTACTCAGCCACACTGGAAGATGACTATTGCTAGGTTACGAAACAAATGGAGGAAATGTTAGCATCTGCAAAACATGTTAAGAAGGATCATCTAAATATCTAAGTTTAAACACGTAAGTATATTGTCATCAAATAGGGATCAACTGTTGTACCAAAAACAGACGAAATTGGCTCCCGTTTCCACATTGGAGCTACTATACTGAACACACGACTTCGATAGGACAGTTGGCTCGTATCTCGAGCAACCGGCACATCAATTTGGCGTATTATCGCAAAGTGGAGTCATGTTGGACGAAGCATACTACGAGAAATCATGATTGACCCATGCAACGAGTTAATGGAACTGCTATTTGATTTGCACCAACAAGACCTCTCAAGGAAGATTGTAACGATGAGAGTTCGGCCCAATAGGAAAATACCTAAACGCCCTTCGTGCTTCCAAAGCTTCCAAACTGTTTAATGAGGACAAGTTCGACGACTACGAGCACTTCGAAAATGCCCTCAAATCAAAACGTACTTGGTGCCAACTGCCCGGTATTTTTTCAAGCGTTACTAAGAACTAGCAAAAAGTTGATATTTTCCCCTTAACAGTGGCAGCAAATATGTCGGCGACTAGTGCTCTGAAAAATAATATGCAAAATGAATATGCTCTCAAATATGACCATAGTTTATATATTAATATTAACTACAGATTACGTGGCTTTGTTTAATAACAAAAGCTTACCTTAAACCTTGTATGGTTAACATCACTTACACATTTTCGTTTTACCTAACTGTGGATTTAGCTTTCACTACCGTGATTGTATAATAATTCTCATGACTAATCCCACCTCGGGTTCTTCGATCACACGCCCACTTGTTTCCTCGTGATGACGATCACGACGTTTATGGTCACGATCGTCCTCCTTGTCTCGTCGATGACGATCCTTTGGACGTTCCTCACGATCAAATCTGCAGTACAAACGGAATAAGATCGAAAAATCCCCAACGAGGGCATCGACAGATGGCACTCACTTGGCCGGTAATAAAATACTTGTGATATAATTGAGAACCTCAAACACTCCAATTTCAAACTATGATATACGATCCTAGATTCTCTTCGTAATCTTAGTGCTATAATATAACAAAAGATAAATGTTGGTCTGGTGCCATATGTGTTCAACTCGTTTTCCAATATACAAGAACCATTTGCGAAAACTTGAGATCAGGATTTTTTAGAACCAGGTAAACCTCTAGTGTTTTTGAACCAACGGTAAAACACTGGATTCCTCCCAACGGTTTACCACCTTATCGTGGCTGGGAGGTGTTCCTGGGTGTAGGGCTACGATGTACAGCAGGAGATTTTTCCTCCCAGCAGAGTCTCCTAAGCTGAGAAAGAGATCGGCATTTTCATCAGGAAGCTCAGATAAGAGTAAACTAATACCAGGATCCACCACCATCCTGGTGTCAAATTATTCGCATTGTGGCAAATCTCCCTCTGATCCGGAACGGCGGCGACTGTCTATGCTGGTGACGACCTAGGGCAATCTTTTTGGCTAGGCTAACTTCGGGACTGTAGGGAACCACAACGGATAAACCAGGAAAACTCCGAAAAAAATGGAAATTATGCCAGGGTCCGCACAACTAGCGAGAACGGGCCATTCAAGTATCTAAGTATCCAAAACGGTGGATTGAGGAGTTGCATGCTCAACGATCGTAAAAAGTTCATTTCCTTCCTATATTCACTAAGTGCGTTACCAGTAGTGTAGGAAGTCTCTGTACGTTTTTCCCACTGAATGTAACGAAAATTTTATAAATCGATGATTCTAAAACGACAATAAGATATAAACAACCAACACAAACAATACTCCTAATGATGGACCAAATGTCACCGATTGTCATAACTACTACCACACACCCCAAAAAGCAATACTGAAATCTGTTACAATCTCTGTACTGCAGATCGATTGAATATAACAGAGTTTAGCAAATATTCAGTCACTAACGTTACCTGTGTGGGAAAATTGAATACGGAACAACTACGGTTCACAAGCAAAACACACTTTTGAAGGACAGCGGGTTTAGATACCCAATGATAAAATTTAATAGAAGGCTAAAATTAAGGCTGCAAAAAGAATGAGAAAATGCCAAAATTAGTAGCACTGTTCAAAACGTTCCGTAATGAAGCTTGTACTGAGATTCTAAAGAAGATATTCATAGTGTAGAAGTGATACGTAGCAAAATAGACAATACCAGATTCATGAATGTGTCGTTTTCTTGTTCAGCAATCGCGAGGTTTTTAAACAGCATACATTTACTTCCATAAAAAACACAATACAATACAACGCTAGCTGACGTTTCGGCAGTATCGCCTTCTTCAGAGCCGCTTTTTCGTGACTTTCAATACCGTGAATACGTGATCGTGAATACCAGGTTTCACAAAGTAGCTATTAAAGTAGTTAGAGATGCTACTGGAAGGTAAATTGAACCCAGAAACTCAATTCTGAGCCAATTGCAAAAAATAGTGTCACCACTAATTGTCTTCCGAAATCCAAAACTTATTCCTTTTCAAGATAGTTAAAAAGTATCAAAATATCAGCATACATGGGTACCTGCTCTCACGACGTCTTCTGTCGTCTTTTGCATCCTCATCTGACTCTGAACCGTCCTCTTTGGCATAATTAGGCCTGAGAAATCCTCATGGAATCACTGTGTATCTCTAGTTCAAAAAAGTAGAAAAAGAAAACCTGCCCTCACATTTTTCCAGCGATATATCGTTGTACTTTTACTTTTTGCATAACCAATTGTCCTTTTTCATTGCGGACCTGCACAGCTCCCAAGGTTGGAAGACGTTGAGGTCCATAACTTCGCTGATCACCTTCACGTTGTTCGAAACGAGGTATATACTCCCCCATTCTAAACATTCTCAACAAAGAAATTAGAAAAACTTACGAACGCGTATGAAAAAGATGGGAATTGATCGGATAGTGGCAAAGAAGGGAGGAAAAGATAGTCTGAAGGCGTACTACTTACGTCGTAGTCAAGCAACCACACAGTTTTAGGTTCAGACTAAAACCATAATGGATAGACAGAATGGTACGTTTAACAAAGCACGGCCAGGTTAGAATTAGAACAGAAATGAGAGGTTTTTCATCAATGGAGAGTACAGTAACAACCTTGTGTTCGCTTATCAAGGATGGAGTGAATTAATTGATCAATGCCGAGGTTAATAGAAAGTCGGTCCTGGGAACTACCAAACAACGCGTTCGAAAAAGACATCACGTAAAAAAAGCCAGCAGCTTCGCAACCCTGACAGCCAAATAGTAAAACAGGAGTTGAAAACATAGTACAGATTACTTCCAGAAAAACATTTACAATTTTAAGAAGCATGATTACCAAATAGCAGTGCTGAAACGGGTACCTGGCCAGGTTGACGTCTACAAAAAACTTTACCCGCAATTACAGAAACATCCTCTTGTCGCCTTTTACGGTATTTCTGAAAACAAAGAGAGAGATTTTAAATCAGTTGTAGCGAAGCTTTCAAGTTATTTAGAGTTTCATTTCAGTCTGATTTTTCTTTTACAGCAATATAAATGAAAGTGTAAGGCATAGGTGCACTAACTCGCAGTTATGGTTTAGGTGAAAGTTCTAAAACCGTCCGGTTGCTTACACTCGGTATTTGCTCCTAAGCTGGCTTTTCTTTTTGCATTTTGAGTAAATCGACCATTTGTAGTGCTTGAATAATCGACGAAGTTCCCACCAAGTTGTTGTTGAAGCTTATTCCTGGGCGGTAAAGCCATCGATAACCACGGTCTTTCACGGGCCACTTTCTAACTTCTGTGAAAGGTGTTTTCTCCTTGACTATTTGTAAGATCGTTTCTTCACTGCAGTTAGTAACTGACTTATTTCTTTATCATATTTATTCAGCATAGGTAGAATAGTGTATTTGACTAGTCGGTAACAATGTTTTTCCATTGTTGTGGCATTCTTCAATCCCTTTCAGTTTTGTATCGTTGCGACGCCGTCATATGCAGACGGTTTTTGTCTTTTTCGAGTTTTTTTGACCTTCTAATTTTTAAAATGCTTTTTTTAAATTGAGAAGTTCCGCTTGCTACAAATTCTATTGAAACTACTGCATGATACCAAGCTGAGAACAACAATGATCTCGAACACCATAGACGTTAAGATGAAAGCTGAGCAGCTTGTGTTTTTTGGCAGTAAAGCAGTAATGAAAGACTTATAGTAGTTGAAGACGGGACATGTACCGTAAAACGATTGGGCCTCCGTGGTACTGCTAGGATCCATCCTGGGAACTTCATCAGTGTTAATAAATTGGTGCCTGGAATAACCTGTGAACTACAGCCACCGTTAGTTATCGTGCTGATCGAGTGACATCTAATGGTTCAGTACGAGGCCGTACTATTGTAAATCCTTTGCTTCAGCTGGTAACAGCGAAACTTTCAACAATTTCGTCTAACTAGTAGGCGTAATGACGATGACGAGTATGAATTCTTTTCCATGCAGATGTTTCGGAAGCCGAAGGTGAAAGGCGCCACAAGAAGGCGTACTGATGGTTGGGATGACAATCAGGATGCAGAAGGAACCACCACCGAATCTATCCAGAAAAAGGTTATCGCGTCGGTGAAACTTTGCGACGATGAGGACGTAGACACGCTGGTATCGAAGCCACCTGCACTTCTAAGTTTTGACAACGATGAAGGTACCGATATAGCATTGATAAGAGAGTAAAGCTTTAATTCCAGCTTAGCATCCAGAAATCCTTCGTCTTTATGGCAGTTTAATATTGCGACAATCAAGCCGATCTTTTAGGAGCAGACGCTGATTTTGTTATTAAGAAGAATAAGAAGAAGGTAAAAGAGCTAAAGAGACTGCAGAAACTAGAAGAGGAAGCGGCGAATGAGACTGTCAAGGAAGAGGAAGACTTACAAAAAGAAAACGAGAAAGAGAAGTACAAAAAGAAGAAAGATCGTGATAAAGATAGAGAGAAAGATCGCAAAGAATCGAAGACCCGCTATCTCGATAAGTATCGTGATTGCTCCAGCAAGGTAATCACTATCAACACTTTCATTATTACTTTTCTCACCTTGGCCTTCTTTGTTTGACAGGTGAAGCCTCCGCAGCCTGACAGCGACGAAGAAGCGGAACATGATTCTCATGCAAGGTTTCCTGGAACATTCGGTTAGATTACTCACCATATTTTACAGTATGGCCAAGAAACTTTTTAACCCTTGGTTTCGCAACAATAAAAAGAAAAATATGGCATATTTGGTTTATCCAGCTTCTATACCGGATTCACGTGCCGTCTACGAGGCGAAGAAAAGACGTGAGCGGATGAGACGAGAAGGTGTTGACGGGTTCGTTTTTCACTGTAAATTCTTGACATTTGGACTTTGCTGGTGTCATTGCTACATCTTTATTTTTGAAGAATAATTCCACTTGACGACGATCAGAAATTGGTTGACAAAGGAGCGAGAGCTAGACTAATTCGAGAAGATGAGAACGACGACTCTGATGAAGAAGCGCCAAAGTGTGAATTGGAAATAATGTTCTATTCCATTGGAGTTCCACTTCTATTCAACCTTTATGTTTTTTTGTATGCAGGTTCTATTCTTCGAAAGATTTGCTTCGTAATGAAGAAGAGCGTCGGCGAGAAGAACAAGGTCACTTTCTTGAGCAAGAACAGGGAGATGAGAGGGATGCCGATGAAGAAGCCGATGAATGGGAAAAACAACAAATACTTAAAGCAGTCAGCAGGCATACGGTACCATTGTTTGTTGTTTTTTTGGTCACAAATATTATGGTATTTGAGCACTGAAAATTCACTCTGCTACGCAGGGCTGGTGGTACTATTTCTCAGTCATTTGTATGTTTCAGATAGGCCAAATTCGTGCGGACTATGACAATTCTACACGTCTTTATCGTCAACGATTGCAAGAGTCTGCAGTAAGAAATTTTATGACGTACATTTTCAAGTAGTGGCTAGTAGTTTTTTGTGATTTGCTTAGGTACCGGAAGCCATGGATATGGATATAGATATGGATGATATTGTGGAGAACTTCAGAACGAAAAACATTGGCGAGTTCTTATGTGCAGTGCTCATTTCCGTTTAACGATTATCGATATTGTAATATCTATTATAGGTCCTACAAGCATGGGGGGTCATATAACGGTGGACGATATTTTGTCGAAATTGAAGTCGGCGTATGTTTCGTTTTTTCCTCACTTGCTTCCGCGTCGCATTTTGTTTTCTTCTCTTATGTCCATTTTAATATTGATGGCATTTAAAGTTTTTTTTCCTTTAAGTCCTCTTCATCAATTTTCGTATTTAACACTTAGAGTGGTTATACCTATGTTGATTTCCAGTCATACGTGGGGGCAGATAGGTCGGCTTGAATTGGTATGGAGCGGTTTTTTTATCGTTAATTTTGCTGGACAGAGTTTTTTTTTTTGCTTTACTTCTTATATGCAGTAAATTGCTTATCAAGCAATGCATCAGAAAAACTATTGTCTACACCTAGCAATACTTAGAAACTGTTAATTGGGTGTTATGATTTGTCAAAGCACAATGACTTGCTGGTGAAGGTGGGTAAGACTACATATGGCTCTCATGTGAGCGAGTCGGCGTACGTGAATTGATATCAGCTCAGAGCACTTACAGCGGGAAATTAAGCATTCTGCCAGGATCACGCCACACTATGTGGGCGTTCGACTATAAGTACTAATATTGAGGTCATGAAAGAAATGTTTGATGACATTGTCTTTGTCTCGGTTTCTAAAAAGCGCACTCTAGCGTTGTTGATCGAGAGGAGAGGTTGAATACGAGGAGGTATGAGGTGAAGAAAATTGAGGACACTTTGGAGGAGAATAAAGCTACTATTGTTAAGGTACCTTTCTTTACATTTCTTGCGTCATTTTTGTGTCATTTTCGATTTTTTTAACAACTTGCATTTCAGATGGAAGGTGATATACCAGTATTGGCTAATAAATATGCCATGTATCAAGAGTTGCGAGCGTATTGTCGCAGTCTGCTAGACTGCCTCAATGAAAAGGTTTGTTTTTTGTTGGCTTTAGTGTTTATTCTCGCGACCAACATCCGTATGCTAAGGTTTCTGAAATTAACGAATTGGGCGACAAACGTCAAGCCTTAGCAAAGGCGCGAGTTGAACGACTAGCACGACGTCGGAGGCGTGACATGCGAGACGCATATAGTGACTGTGTGACTGCAGCAGCAGGGAAGAACCCATCGACAACGAGAACTCCTGATGCAATGATACGGGTAGCTGAGAGAGATGCGCGTAGGTGCTGTTTCGAAAAAAAACACTTGTTTGTTATTTATTTTTCACTTTCGGTCATATCGGGTAGTACTAGTGATACTGTTCATCTCTACGACGTCGGGAAATTGGTGCCAGACTTCTCTAGGAGCAGCTCGGTCCCTCCAATCCATCTGGGAACACACGTGCGAGGCCATTCCGAAGCCCCCATTTCCGTGCTATTTTATGAAGGTTCTAGAGAAGCAAACAGTGAAATAATGAACCTTATCATACATGTAATGTTACTTGCTTTCCTCATGTAGGCGTAGCTCACTGGGAAACTCTGGAACGTGAAAGTGACTTTTGAATACTTTACTGGTCTACACTAGAGTGGCTTGGTGCCTAACAGGTTTTTTGGTGATGAGTAGTTGTCTGTGGAAATAATGAAGTATTTTCTTTAAGAGCCAGAAGACGCAGAGAGCGCGAAGGCACGCTTGCAGGTGTATCTCATGAAGAGGGTCTCAGTAGTGACGATGACGAACCCACAAGTCAGCAGCTGGCTGATCAACAAGCTGCAGGTGTGTTGATATTTTGGTACTATTTTCCGAATTTGTGCATTCTTAGCAATGTACCAATCCCTAAGTACCATGAATTTTCATGCCTTACCTCTCACGTTTTGTATGCCAGATTGTAATATCAGAGAAAACTTTCTGATCATTTTAAACCAGTTATTTATTTTGTTACTGATAATCTGATATTTCATCAGTTTAAGTCCAAACATATCATTTTTCCAATGGTTTCAGCTGAAATTGATGTTGCACTACGTATGGTGTTCGTAGATGCCCTAGACGATTATGCACATCTTCGAAAAGTGCTAGATAGGTTAGCGGCTAATACTTTTCAGCTCACTTTATTGTTCTCTTGGTTTTCTTAATAATTATCTGCTTCAGAATGATTGACTGGTTCGCTGTTGATAGTACGACATTCCAAAATGCCTATATCTCATTGTGCATTCCAAAATTAGCTTCACCTTATGTAAGGATACAACTAATCACAGCAGACATCTTAAATGTGGGTTCGATTTGTTGTTTGGTTGGCCAACGAGATAGTTGCTATGTTGTTTAACAACGAGATAGCTTCAGCTTAACTAGGTTTATGCCGATTTGTGCTCCTCAGATCAATCCAGTTGACGGGTTATTGCTGATAGCACCCATAGGTCAATAACGTGGCTTAGAGACAGGCGAAATAAAGGACTCGCATGGCATGGTGGTGAACGCGTTAGTCCCCGGAAAGGGTAATAGCGTGTTCGGTCCCCACCGCAGACACATCGTCCACTGCTGCAAATATCTCAGCAACTCTATTTCACATAATACCTTGCCGTCAAAAATTACTAGATGGTAAATAAAAGTTGGCGACGTAGTTGCTTTAATTTTATCACGTCCTACTTCAGCGAGATGACTTTATTTTGTCGTCAATGCCATGGTTTGTTGACTGTGTTCAAGCAGGAGAAGGTAACACCGACGTTGATTCGAAGCACGAAGTGATCAAAGGAATCATTCCTCTTATAATTGAGAAGGTCGTCCTTCCGTATCTTACAGGTGCCTCCCAATCGATGTTCTTCTATAAAAATCTGCAATGTAAAAACTTGAAAGTTCAGTGCTTAAACTGTTGTCAGGGAGCTATTTAAGAGCATTCTTAATCTAGATGTGGTTAATGTTGAGTGGGAGCCCATGTCACTGAAGCAATCTAAACGATTGGGAGCCGTCCTTAGTGGTCTGTCTGAGTATCCAAAGTTAAACCTCGAAGATAGCAAATCGTTTGCTGCTCTTGCGGTGGCTGTAAAGGCAAAAATTACGGCAGCCATCGATGACGACCTTTTCGTACCGATTTACTCAAAACAGTAAGTAGAAGTAAAATAGTAATTAGTTTGATGTTAAAGTCCTATGGAATATTTTGTCCAATTTAGATCGATCAAAAATCCTGCAACAGGGTGCTCGGCTTTTTTGGACCGACAGTATTGGGCCGCTATCAAAGTATGAGTTTTTTCAACTATGCTTACGAGGAAAATTGTTGCCAAAATCTTTATTTTCTATTTCACTCTGAAGTGCCTAACATATACACTCCTTTGTGGTTATTAATTTCTACCTCTGTAATAGTTCGGTCCTAGAAACTGGGAAGAGCTAGGTACGTTATTGATCTCACAGCATTTTACTTTCTAGCTGATTCGAGGCTTAAAAGCGTTTTCGTCGTTTCTCAATCCGGCCTCACGTCTTGAACTTGTACTGGATGGTGTTGTCAATCGTGTCTGCGTGGTTGCATTGGAGACAGGAATCTTAGATGATCTTTCCTGTGAGCGAAAGGTAATCATCTTGATGCTTTTATTTAAACAAAATTTCAAGTTTTCATATTTTGTCCAAGTGTTCTTTTTTAAATAGTGGTATCAGAACTGAGAAACTTCATCTTCAGGTGCGCGCTCTTTTAGCTGAAATTCCTGAAGAAATGATTGAGACTGCCAAACCGGACTCTTTCCGAAATCTCATACGCTGTCTAGGAAAAGTATTAGAAGAGCAGAAGAATGCAGGAAGGTAGGATGACTAAATACAATTCTTAGTTGTTGTTTCTTATTACGTCTTATGTCCACTTTTTCCAAATGCTTTGTGATGAGATTTCAACAGGAAACGTTTAGGAGCTATTATCGAGAGGTACGGAAGTATATGGAGAAGTTGCAGAAGAAGGCAGATGAGTAATATTTTTTAGAGCTAATTACTTGTGATTTCTTTGCGCAGTTTTCCAGAAATGATAAAAATTTATGTGTTGTTTTGTTGTTTTCTGTATTGAGTCTTGCCCCTCTGATTTACCTATTTTCTATTTTCTTGTTTTCGCTGTTAATTAAATGGTGCGTTAACAAATGAGATAAGTAGATATGTCGTGGAAACGTATGAATCTTGTTATTGATCGCTATGAGAATTTCGTAACAAATGAGTTACGTGAACTACGAAAACTTCAACGAATGGCTGTGAATCCTAGGACCGATTCGACATCTGTAAGAGATCAAGTTAGTTTTAGTCTTGTCGTATCTGGACAGTCTAGTTTCATGTTATGGTACTAATGAGTTTTATGGTGCTAGAGGATCATATCCAGGCAAATATGATTTTTGGATTCAGATTAATCGCATTGGACAACAGCTTCAGTCAAGCTTTGCTCAGTTACTAGGAGAACGCGGGAATCTTAACTCCACAGAACAGGAAAATTTCGATTTACGAATAGATCCGATTAGGTACGTATATACATCAGTTGTTGAGTGAGAATGTGTCCATTACTGTGTTAAGCTGCCATAACTTTATTTATTATATCTCTATGTAAGTGTGGGTGTATTAAGAAACCTATTTAAAGGAAACAAATACAGACGGCTATCCATGCAACTAATTCTCTTCCTCCTTTAACTACAAAAAATCCTTTCGATGAAGAAGACTTGGATGAAGCGAATCTATATGAAGCTGAAACGAAAAGGTTAGTATGCACGGTGACATGAAACCATTTTTTAATAGTTTGTCTGCACGTAAATCTGAAGTGCAAGATGTGATACTGATTTGTCCACAGTTATTAGTGTTTCAATCGTTATCACCAAATTTAAGTCTGCATTCTGATATTCGGAGTAGTCTTTACTTGATCATTGCTGTACATTATTCACCAAAAACGAGGATGTCGTTACGATGCGTTCGTAGTCGAAATGTGTTCCTTCTAGGTATATGAAGGAAAGTGACTCTCGCCTCTTGGAGATGAAATTAAAGGCAGAGGAAGCAAAAATGACTGCTGAAGCAACAGCCAAATTGAATAAGGTTTTTTTCCAGATTTAAAATCACTGGGACTGTTTTTTTTTTCAGATAAATTGTTTCGCTTCCAGGACATGCGAGATTTAGAGGAGATATTCGCGGAATTAGCCACTATTATTCATCAACAGCATGAAGTTGTTGACTCTATTGAGGTAAACTAAGAAGATTTTCACTTGAGTCCTGACTACTGCGCGTTGTAACTATTCGGAGTTAATCCACTATTCACGGATGTTATGCTGCAACTGCTAGTTTTTTTGCTCATGAATGATTTAGGAGCATGTAGAACGTGCCGCATACGACATCCGTCATGGAAACGAGGAGTTGAAGAAGGCTGTTAAGAACAAAAGTAGCCATGTACGCTTGGTTTCCTCAGTAGTTTATTCCAAATGAAATCTGTGCAACCTCAACTTTTGTGGTTTCTTTCTACAAGTTACTACATCGTAGGCAAATTGAAATTTGTGGTTTTAAAATATATTTCGATTCCTTTTATACATCGAATTTGTATTGACAATTGTCGTGTAACATCACTACTACAGACTACAGTAACGGCGGCAGTGGTTGGTGGCCTATGTATAGGTGGTCCTGTAGGAGTAGCAGCTGGTTCTGCGGTGGCTGGAATAAGTGCTGGCATCGCAGGACTTATTGCAGGTATGCATCCACCGATGTTGACTTGGTATACCCTTTTTCGAAGATCACTTCCAGGTATTTATGGAGGCAAGTGGTTTAAAAACTCACTACGAAAAGACTGCGACGTAAACAATTAATGGAGCATTAATGATGGCGTATGCTTTCTGTTACTGCTTTTCTACAGTTATTTCGTGCATATATTTTCTTCTTTGGGTTACTTGGATACTTGAATGGCCCGTCTTTGGTGGCTGTGCGGTTCCCAGCATAACTCCAATTCGTTTCTCTGTCGCGTCGTTCATGGCGGTGGTGTGCTTAGGACATGGCGACGTCAGCGAGCCCTCTTTCGTCATCCTGAAATTATCGACATCTACGAGTGCATATGGTTGACGTTAGTTAGGAACACGTCCACTCATCGTTTAGGTGGTCTTTCAAGAGGTCGCTTGCATCCGTTCCATTGTTTTTTTTTTCGTTAATCTATCATTGTTGTTCATATTATGTGATCGGCCCATTTGTGTTTTGCTATCGGTGCATATTATCCTGGATCGCGAAGATGGGATAGCTTTCTATGGCTTGTTCGTAATTTACATGTACAGAGTGCATTCTTTGCTTATGTCCAGAGTTCTTGTGACTTAATATATCATTCCGGGCAGTTTAATATCCTCTTTCATTCCACTAATTCCGTTGATGACATTGTTTTCAGTTTTTTAAACAAGTTCAATGTTATTAACTAATGGCTATTACGAGTGCCAGACCGCTTCATTCATCGCCTTATATTACGATTTTCCGTAATTTATTTAGGCTTTGATATATTGCTTTCTCTTGTTCTTTTCTTTTCTTGAGAACTCTGCGGCGGACACTATGTGATTTCTGGTGAAATATGGGTTCGTTGTAATTTACTCTTATAAATTGCTTTCGCTTGGTGTTTTTTAGAGAAAATATGTGTTACAGACACAGGTTATATGATTTTTTGTGCAATATATGTCTCTATTTTGTTAAATTTTCGGTGATATCAGACCTTCGCTTGTCAAATGGCGGTGCTGTTAGAAACTACCTTAGGAGATGTCGTTATTGATGTATACGTTAAGGAAAGACCAAAAAGTGGGTTACCAAGCAATTCTAGGAAATTTGCAACAAACGGGAATATTTCGTATGTATGTTGTTTAGGTTCACTTAATTTTATTAAACTGTGCAAAATGAAATACTATAATCTCTGCCAGTTTCACACCATCGAGGTAGGTTCAGGTACCCTTTGCTAATATACTGGTGATGATCACAGGCTTAAGTTCTTGGAAACCATCCTGTCGTAAAGATGTACTTTTTGGAAATTCCTGCTTTTTTGTCCTAGCATGCATTAATATTTCTACTGAAGACTGTATTAAAAATGGAAACTGCAGAGTTGTATTAAAGGATTCTGAATGATTTCAATAAATAATGCATAACTATATATACATTTGTACGACAATTTTTAGCAAAACTATATTGCTCAGACGGGTGACCCCACAGGAACGGGTAGAGGAGGAGAATCGATCTTTATGTAAGTGATAAGGTTTATCTTTTCTCTTAGTTTTCAGAAAAATAAAACTGCCCAAAAACTAGAAACTTGAAGTGACAAGTTTATGAAGTCAAAACGTCGGCCGCTATCATTTGCTATTGGGAACTTTGTTGTGCTCAAAAAGGAACCGCTAACTTATTTATCAATGACGACTTTAATAGAAAGTTCGACTTAGATGTTTGAAACGATTTTTGTGAGTTCTCACGTTTAAATGGTATCTTAGTTACTAATATTTCATTTCCTCTTAGGAAGTTATATGGTGAGCAAGCACGATATTTTGAGAAAGAAGACCTACCAAAAATGAAGCACACGCGGATGGGTAGGGCACTTGAGCTTTTGTATTGTTTGGCTTTCTGTTCTTCTGAAAGCACCGGAGTTGTATTATTAAATGGGAGTGTCATATACCCACTCAAGGTGCCATTTTAATTGTAGGTGTCGTTTCTTTTGTAAATAATGGAAATAATATGCTAGGAAGCCAGTTCTTCATCACGCTTGGCGAGGAGTAAGGTTTTAATTTCAAATTCATGATTTAGCTCCTGGAAATGTTATCGTTTATGATTCATCTTCAGGTTAGATTACCTTGACGATAAGCACACCATTTTTGGACAAGTTACTGAGGGATTAGATACGTTGGAAAAGCTCAATGAACAACTATGTGATGATGATCATAGGCCTTACAAGGATATAAGGTCAGTGACTAATTGAGCTTTGAAGAGAGAGGCAAAGTTCCTACTAATTCTTTTTCAAGACCGTTTTGTAGCTGTTGCTCATGTTTATAATATTCAGCTCATTTTATCTAGAATTGCTCATACGATCGTACTTGACGATCCATTTGAGGATCATCCTCGTCTTGAATACCCGCGTAAATCACCATCACCAACATTTGAAATGCTTGTAAAGGTAGTCGATCAGGGATCGTGGAGGATATCAAACAATTTTTAGATTCTCTTCCATTTTAAGACAAATCAAATCGCTCTCGACGAAAATGTGGACGATACTGAAGGGAAAACGGCTGAAGAACTTGCAGAAGAAATAAAAAAACGTGAAATGGCTGAACAGGCGCAAATACTTGAAATGGTGAGGTTTTATTAGCATTGAGTTTGTTTGTCTCTACTTTCACTAATCTTGCTATGCTCCTTAGTCTTTTATCTTAGATTGGTGATTTGCGTGAAGCTGATGAAGCACCTCCTGATAATGTTCTGTTCGTATGTAAGCTAAATCCCGTAACAACGGACGAAGATTTAGAGATAATTTTCAGTAGATTTGGAAAAATAATCAAGTGCGAGGTATATTTCTATCTAGTTGTTGCTCACTTAAAATTAAATTATTAGCTCCAAGGTTTTTTTCTTGGTAGATTTATGTATTTAACTTTTATTTACTGCTTATTCTTTTGTAATGACAGGGTATTATCTGAGATATAACCACAACGATGCTGAGTTATGAGCTCTGTGAAAACTCGAAATTGGAATATTTCGAAATTTGTTCATATCTGAGCAACATTGCACTTTGTCTTCATGTAAGCATCCACCAACCTATTCTAGATAATACGAGATCGACGAACAAAGCAATCTCTTCAGTACGCTTTCATTGAGTTTGAAGATGTGAGTGGTTTTATATTGGAACTAGTATATTGGCACCTTCAATAGAATTCGGGTTTTTTTGACAATTGCGAATAGTTTCTCGATAACCATCCTACTTGAGAAATTGCGTATTTGACTAGTTTATAATGACAGACTTTGACGAGGATGGTATGACAGTGGAGGTAATACCGGTTATTACCAGCATGGTGCTAATTCGATTGCAGTACCGGGCTCACCAGGCGTCCCATTCCTATGGGGTCGTTAAATTGGTATTAAACTTCTTTGTGCATATCCGACTTCCTGCAACCCATGTTCGCAGAGAGGATCGACTCCAACAGCGTCCAACGACATTCACAGTTAAAACAAAAATATTTAAGGAGTAGTCGAAGCAATATGTGAAATGTTCGGAGATCTTTGGATAATGGGTGCGAGGAAACGAATCGCTTGGAAGAAGTTATGGGATGCACACAGTATATGTGATGAAGGGTTATGTAGAAGAAATATGAGACTTCATGCTATCGCTCTAAGAGTATTAACTCTCCCCTGGATCAAAACTTTAAAAAACATTGACGTGATACTAACGCTAAACTGAATAAATTTTCAAAGTTATGGACGCGAACGAGGCAATTGCCCACACTGTATTCGGGTCCGCCAGTACTTCCTGCTAAAATATAACCAACTTGTTTGATTGGTTTACTATGGAAATATGGGTTTGAATGACAAAAGCAGAAAAAACGAGTTGAGAGCTCCAGCGAAGCAAAAATTTCATTATGATGAAGCAACACCGGTTGCAATTCGTTGGAAAAAACCCGTTCAATGCAATAGTTATTATTTAAACTGAATTCATTACTAAATCAGATGTGTTTAGGTTTGGAAGGTTATTTTCGACCACATATGAGTAAAGATTCAAACGGTCCCGAATATGTTATTATTGGTACACTTTTAATTGCACTGTAATAGCTGATAACGAATTCAATCGAAGTAGAATTAAGACGTTTCCAATAACTGTGTAAGGTTAAGATATAACGAATATTTAGCCAAAAAGCTGTGAGCAGGCGTTTTTCAAAATGGACAACGTCCTCATCGACGACAGGCGAATTCATGTGGACTTCTCCCAATCGGTTGCCAAGTTACATCAATGGAATCGAAGCGTAACAGAAAAAGCACATCCAGAAAACCGTCATCATGTGAAGAAGGATAAGGCAAGTGTGATGAGATTTCTTTCGTAACAACTAAATTTAACATCAGTTGCTTTCAGTTTCGTAAATCACCTAGAAATGATGACTCTTGGAGGAAAAATGGAGCAGATAAAGAGCGGGAGGAAGAAAAACGCCACGAATCGAGACAAACCAGTAAACAACGGGAAAAAATATCAGAAAAGAAACGGCGACAGTCATCTAGAAGTAAAGATGAAGTTCCTCGGAAATTCCAAAGGCGATCACGAAGTTGTGAACGCTCGTCACGAAGGCAACGAAGTCGAGAGAGGAGAATTAAGGAGAGAAATGAAAGACGCGATAGCCGTGAGAAAAAGCGATCGCGAAGCGTCAGCAGCTCAGAAAGGAGACGCAGACGTTCACGGGATCGACATAGGTCCCGATCATCAGGTAGAAGCAGGTACCATAAGTGAATGATCTTGAGTGACAAATTCATCCACTACGTATTGTTGATACTCACAAATGGTCTCTGCCTCTTAATCAATAAATAAAGGTAGATGAAGTCGTCTTGAAGTGAGAAAAGAAGTAACTGTTCCGCAAGGTTATCAACGCATAGCTTACATAATGAAGCTTAAAGCGAAATTTCTAAGCCGATTTACCAATACAACCTGTATTAACACAATGCTATAAATAGTTTAGAGGCACCGAAATCTTTACCAAGATATACAGCAATATATACACTTAATTACAAAGGACAATTCCCATTGTCATAAATCAAGGTCTTCGCATGTGTCCCATTCAGAGATCTGGATGATATTTGAAATAACATTGCTATTAAGATATCTCTAAAACGATGGAATAAAGGAAAGAAGGTAAGTCTATAAACTAACCAGTTCCCGTTCATCGATATTTCCCTGTGATAAGCTCTTACTTATTTCAAATCTACGGTTATTTGCAATTATGAGTGGATGAGGCTGAAATTTGAAAGACGCTGTTATACGCCGTATTGAAAACAACAAGGAAAAAAAAACGCGCTTTCAAAAACCCCAACCTTTGGTATAGCTCCTCCTTCGATAACAAATCGAGCTTCTTCAATAATATTAGAATGAGGATAGTTGAAATGAAGGCTCTCTGGTGACATTCCCAAATGCAGACCCAATGATAACACTGATTGGCAAAATTTGAACCTTGAACAAACTAGAGGTAATTCTTTCTAATTTTGTAGACATCTATTTAAGGTTGTCTACCAATCATTATCTAACTGTTCTTGACTCCACCTTTCTCGCAATGAAATCTCACGATGGGACAACTGGAACAAAATAACAAATACATGGTTACATAATTCAGGGAGTGATGAAAAAGCATACAGTACCACCTACCAAGTAAGGCAATCGAAAATCGAAAACAACCGCTACACTATTGACCAGTTGTATAGAATGTAAGAAAGCGGCGAAAGTGGATCGCAGGTCAGTTGAGAGATTAAGAACCGAGTTCGAAAGTGCAGAACCCAATCGTTCACGAGCAGTATCCGATAGGAAGTTGTCGCGGACATAAAACAATGAGATTTTGCTCAACGAACCGGAAACAAAACTATGTTAGATGTGATTATAACTACAGCCTCAGCTTAACTGGGTTCATTGCCGATTTGGGCTCCCCAGATCAATCCCACTGACGAGTAATCCCTGATGACAGTGATCGATAGAACTAGCCGAGAGACAGGCGAAACGAAGGACCCGCATGGTGTGGTGGTGGTGAACGCGTTACTCCCCGGAAGGGACAATAGCGTGTTCGTTCCCCACCGCATACACCTGCAGTCCGGAGTTCCGCAAATATCTCAGCATCATAGAAGACGTGTTCCATGAAGGAAATAACTCAGCTCTACTGAAATTCCATCCTAACATGAAAAGATGGGAAAGGTACTAGGTAGATTTAATTTACAAGAATAAACAATAGTAATGTGACTTACTTTGATCATAGGACCTTCTTCAATCTGATGACCACTAACTACAGTCCATTTCCTGAATAAAAGCATCCTACTAATGGTAGTACCAAAACATGACACATTAAACACAAAAGGATAAAGCTCTCGACACTGATCACTCCATGAGGGATGCGCCATTCATTCGACTTCATTAAGCATCGTTGGAGGTGACTAAGTACATATCCGAGCTCTACAAAGACTTACGGAGGCTGACCGATGTATCGAGTCACCGCTGCTACCCTCCCAGACAGGTCTGATACCAATTTGCCGACCTCGGAGGAATGGAATTCTTGGTGAACCAAGGGAGCAGGGATCGAACCCGTGTGTGTGTAGCAGGGGCCTCCGACCACCGCGCCGCACACGCCTCTATTTTTTGCCATAACGACAGTAATTATTACCACATGGAGCCGGTAAATCACTAATTGGAAATTTATAGTTCAAATTCATTCAGGTCGAAAATAGATACTTCCTTCTTTAACAACTTAAGTTCTCGGCGTTAATCAATCCCTCAGGGATGGGCCACGCACTCGATTTCGTTAATTATCGTTGGAGGTGATTGAATGCATATCTGGCCTTTACATGGACTCGCGGTGGCCTACCAATGTATCGAGCCAGTACGGCTATCCTCCCAGATAAGTCTCGTACCAATCTGCCGACCCCGAAGTGATGGAAGACTTGGTGAACAACGGGCGCGGGGATCGAACCCATGTGTGTCTTACAGGGCGCCTCCGACCACTGCGCCACAAATATAGTTGGTTGAATACAGATAATATTTAAGCTACAGTAGCTCCCAAGCGAATTGTATGTAGACCACTCACGTTGTAGGATTAGAAGTAGTCTTCGACTCTTTCTCTGGATCAACGGCGTGCGCCACAACCTCAGAAACAGGGAAGATCGAAAATAGAGAACCACAGAGAGCTTTTCGAATTAGAGAGAGCTATAAACCACAGACACAGACATGAAACCAAGAGAAAAGGAAGTTGAACATCGCTTAAGACACACCTTTTCATTCATCTCTTCGACTTTGGCCTCCTTATATGCTCTTCTTTTTCGCATATACAATTCATTTGACTCATGCTTGTTGTAGTATTCCTGTGAACGTTTGATATAAATGAAGGTTAAAGTTTCTGAACCTTTATGCTAGAAAAGTGGGAATTACCAAAACTTTTTCAGTATGCCTGGTAGTGGATGCGATCGATTGTTTCAGCATATTTAACTGATCGGTTTTCACTTTGTTTATCTGCCTTTTATCAGAAACCCATTTCCTCAATAATGTTATGTTGGCAGTAGTTGTGTTAATTTCAGCGTGTAAATTTGACTGAAAAAGAAAACTTCCTCTGACTGAAAAGAAAAAAAAAAGATCAAACCAAACCATTTCTCCTAGAACATCGTCCATTTCCCTTTCAAGCTCTCCCTTCTTTATCGCTCGCATAGAGATGTTCTCCTTCCGAGAGTATAATTTCACTGAAATACATGAGCATCATGGCTAACACAACGCCGGTAGGTCCGTAAACCACTTTTTAAAAAAAATTTCCATAACACTCACCCTTTTCCAGAGTACATTTCTTGCAGTAGCACTGGTTCTTTTTTGAGCAGCACAAGCACACCAGTCGTTCACCGGTCATTCTACAGCAAGATTTGTTGCCTTCACTGCATTTATCACTAGACTACGCTGATAGTCTAGAACTAAATTCTCTCATAGATGATAATTTTACTGATTGTCAGACCCTCTATAACTACACTTGTTCTGCAAAAAGACGTCCAGTACAAGGGCTTAACATCTTTTAATAGGTACAAAAAAATTAAGTGTTCTGCAAAAACACTTGTTTAAAGATGTTTTAAGATTAATCTACGAAGAAGAAAAAAACGGTTACAACCAGATTTGTCAAGGAAGAAAACATATTCGGTGAGAAACCCTCCCCAAAGTCAAATTCAATAAGAACGCCGTCTGTTCAATGCCAGAAATTTTGCTTTAACTTAAGCACTACTAGTACTAATTCACGATAACTTGCAATGGCGTGACCGTTGACTGAGGATATGTTGGCAGTTCTCAAAGTAGAAATCATTTATTTACATATTCATTAACTCATAACTTAGACTGGAGTAAACTGCTTGCTTTCAAATCATGATGTAGTGTAACACGATCGTTTTAATAGAATAGGAATAACACGTACTTCCAAGCAGATTTCTTTACATGAAACACTCCAACTTTAGTGAGAATTCCTGGCGGAGTTTGTACTAGATCTCGAGGAAAACATAGACCTTCTGACACGAAGACTGAAAATGATCGAGATTTTTCTTTCACGGGATAGAAATGTTAGCGATCTCAGTGATACAGAGAAAGTAACTCAGTAAAGACTATATCGGATTGAACGAGGAACATTAGAAAAAGGGAAAGACTGTAGTAATTCCTGCTTTTAGAAAGCTGTGAAATGTCCAAATTTAAAGTAAACTTACTCGATTCACTAAATCTGGAGCATAGATTGCTCTTGATGAAGACAATACGAATTCATAGAGACTTACATATAATAATGATGCAATATAATGTATAATATATAATAATAATGATCCATCCTCTCAATGACTTGACGCCTAGTCGTGGCTGGGGAGGTATTCCTGGGTGTAGGGTTGTGACGTACGGAGGGATTCGTCCACCTAGCGGGGCCTCCCAAGCCGAGAAAGGGTCTGGCATCTTCAACAGGAAACTGAGCTAGAAGTAAACCAATACCAGGATCCGCCACCGTCTTGGTATCAAACTAGTCGCATGGTGGCAAATCCTCCTCTGATCAACAAGGGCTGTGACTGCCAGTGATGGTGGCGACCTGGAACAGACTTTGGCCAGGATAACCTCGGGACTCCTGGGAACCACAATGGCTAGACCAGCAAAACTCCAAGGAACAAAAATGGAAATTCTGCTGGGGCTGCACAACCAGTGAAGACGGGCCATCCGAACACCAGGTAATAATAACAAAGTTAGATAACAATAAGATGGATTTTTTCTTTTCTTAAGTTCTGTTTTAGATCGTTAATAGTGGGCCCCATATATCGCCCTCAAACATTAGTACACTTCAAAGATTGCGCGATTCTTCAATCATCTTCCTTCAAACGCTCAGTAAACTGACCGACATTGACGTTTCCTCTGCAAGCTTTTCACACCGTAGAAAGAACAACAAAAACACGAGAAAAGAAGAAACACCTTCCCCGTAAATAACAATACTCCCTTAGCTCCTAACTATTTTCAAAACATCGCTCAGAATAAATGCAATGATGACAAAGCACTGAGGAAAAACCGGTCCATCACACCAACTGCAGTTCTGCGGATGATGTCAAGAATGTGACCAACTGTAAACGGAGCACGATAACAGCCACTAGAAATGGAATCACGTGTAAAGCATGAAGAACTGGAAAGAAAAAAATAGACATTACTCACTTGAAGGCGAATGAACACCAACTGATAGTTGCTTCGATTTGATATTCAGAAGTTGGCGATCATTAATGTTCATTCTGTTGAGCTTTTAAAAACATTGAGATGTTAGAGATTCCACATCGAACAGCAGATGATACGTCAGCTATGAATGAAAGAACACCGAGCACAACGCATCTGTTCTCACTGAAATGAAAACTGCACAGTTTCGTCCGATAAAGACGACAAGAAACGAGGAAAATGGTGACTCTGCAAATAAAGTAAACGATAAATTCCCAAGATTTCCTTAGTCAGAAAAGAGCTTGGCAGGAAATCGGCTTGTGATTCTCAAAGAAAAAGTTGCTTTGGAATGTTTTATTGAAAAAACTACAGCAGAGGCATGATGAACACCTATCGTGAGAAATCCTACTTTACGAGGGTGAATTTTATCACACTAGCGTTGATAGGAAACGCAATATCACACAAATTTCAAGCTGAGGACGTAATTTTGCGACCAGATGACAGCTAAACGCGTACTTACCTGGATACTTGGGTGAATTTTATCACACTAGCGTTGATAGGAAACGCAATATCACACAAATTTCAAGCTGAGGACGTAATTTTGCGACCAGATGACAGCTAAACGCGTACTTACCTGGATATTTGGACGGTCTGTCCTCAGTAGTTGTGCGGACCCAACATACTCTCCATTTCTCGGAGTTTACTGGTTTAGCCATTGTATTTCCCTGGGTTCTCGAGGTCAGCCTGGCCAAAATATGCTCCAGGTCGTCATCACAATAGGCAGTCGCCGCACTTGTGGATCACAAAAAAATTTCCTACCATTTGACTAGTTTGATACCACGGCGGTGGTGGGTCCAGGTATCGGTTTACTCGTAGCTGGGCTTCTTGATGGAAACGTCGGACTCATTCAACTTGGGCCCTTCCGGGGGGACGAATCCACCTGTTCTACTTCGCAGCCCGGCACCCAGGAACACCTCTCAGCCACGATGGGGCGATAGACCACATCCACGTACTACAGCCAATTTGTAAGTTTACTAACGCTAACTATATAGGTACAACTGGACAAGATTTTGTAAAAGGCTTCTCAATGGTTTCCTCATTTGCAACCGATTTCTGGAAAAGTATTTTACGGTGTGTTGTCGAGAAATGAACTCGTCTGAATAAATGTTTTTTTGTAAACTGCTAGGCGCAGAGAGCGCCTTTTTTGTATGACTTGTCCTACATTAATATGCTTTCGATTATCTATCGAACGAATGTATATATATATATATATATATTATACATATGCATACATGTATATGTTTACTTGCCTTCCAAGGGTTTAACGCCTCATCGTGGCTGGGAGATGTTCCTGGCTGTCGTACTGCGATGTACAGAGAGAGGATTCATCCCCTTAGCAGGGTCTCCCAAGCTGAGAAGGAGTCCGGCGTTTCCATCAGGAAGCCTAGCTAAGAGTAAACCAATACCAGGATCCACCACCGTCCTGGTATCAAAGTCGCATGGTGGCAAATCTCCCTCTAATTCACAAGGGCTGCGGCCGCCTTTGTTGGTGAGGACCTGGGGCGGATTTTGGCCAGACTGACCTCAAGATTCCAGGGAGCCACAATGGCTTAATCACCAATACTCCGAAACATAGTGTTTGTGCTTTGGCTCGTACATCCAGTCAGGACAGGCAATTCAACTGTCAAGTACCAACTATATATTTACATATGTT